GCAGGCAGTAGAGGCAGGAAAGAGAAGGTTCTTCTGCCCCTAAAAGTTTATGTGTGCTAGCTAAAGTAATAGAGCCAAAAATAAAATATTTCTGAGACATTTCTGAAGGATCATATTCTAAACAGAGGCATGGCACTCGTTCCTTCAATGGCACAGCACTAAGGTTAGAGGACCCGAATGGCCCACTTTGGCATTGACTTGCTGTGTGTCTTCCTGAAAATTTCTTTGTATTTGTCCCTGGGGCTGGGTTTCTTTACCTTTCATAGGGGGTAATTAATTATATCTGTCCTGCCTGCTTATTGATAGGATGATTTTACGTGGTAAGACAAAATGATAACATAGAAAGACTTTAGAAATAACATTGTAGGTAAGGTAACATAAAAGGTAAGGTAGATGTTTGTTGGTTATCTGCCTTCTCAGTTTCCCCTTCAGTCCCTTGAATATTGGATGTTTTCAGGATTCTGTTCTAGGCATTCTTCCAGTATTCCATTTCTGACTGGTCTTATCCATTCCCATAGTTTCAAGTTAATGTGCATCATTCACATAGAACCACCTTTGAGCTCCAGATATTTGTGTAACTCCCAAGTCCTACCAGGCTCAGTCTCAGTTCTAAGCCATTTTTAAAGAAATAGAGTTCAGTGGCAAAAAGCAGTTGGAAAGCAGTGATACTCTTAACTTGTGTCTCTTGAAGCATATACTAGCATGTAAGTTATAACTCAGCACTGTTTCCTAAGATCTCTGTAACTCCCGCCTCCCCAGTCAGGACTGAATCCCTTTGTTACAGGCTCCCATTTTCTCCAGACTCACCCTAAGCCTTTCACTCACAACTCTTTCCAGTCTTTTTGTCATTTGAGCTTCTCCCCACAAACCAGAGCATTTGCCCATGTTTCTCTTTTCCCCACCCTTTTTGGCCTAGCTTGATAAGAGCTCAAGAACTAGGCTGCCAAAGACCAAATTCTCCCTTGAGGGAGGAGAGAGGGTAGTTGTTCTGGCAAAGACCTTATTGGATAGGGGAAAAAGGGAGAGTTGGAACACACGCATGTAAACAATCTATATTCCCCAGCACGCTTAGGAAGCGTCTGCTTACTCTCTTCTTGTATATTTCACAAAGCACCTCTGACTCAATCCATTAACTTGACCTTATTATCTTCCATTCAAACTTGCTCTTCCTTATAGTGTTCCATATCTTCGTATAAAGTGCCCATCATGCTCCTAGTTGCTTATTCTAGACATCTGAACATCATCTTCTCCTCACCCCTTACATCCTGTTCAAATTCTCCTTAGCCTAGATACTGAATACATAATTCTTGAATCTCTCCATTTCGCTCAGTCTCCATTGCTGCCACTGTGCTTGGTGTTCCTCTGCAATCAGTTCTCTATACCCCAACCAGAGTGATCCTTTAAAAATGTGAATCTGAACCTGGCTTTTTCTCTTTTACTCTTTTCAAGGCTTCTGAGTACCAAGCCCTTAATTTGGCCTCTAAGATCTGGTTGGTTCCTGCCCATCTCTCTAAAACTCCCCTACCTCAGCAGGATGCATTTCTTCCTGCCTCAGGGCCCTTGTCTAAGCTGGTCTGATTGTCTGAAGTATCTTCCAACTCCCCCCTGCCTTGCATTCCTTCCCCCAACCTATATCTTGCTTACTCATTCACCAGATGTCAGCCTAAATAGGACTCCTTCATCTAAGGCCCCTCTGACTCAGGCTGGGCCAGTCCTTTTGCTATAGCTCAGGCACCCCACACTTCCTTTTCAGCCAGACCCATCACCCTTGGCCAGCAGACCCTAACTCCATGAGGACAGACAGCGTGTTGCTCTCCTACAGCACTGTCTTCAAAGTGCTTAGCACAGTGCTCAGCTAAGATCCAGTATTCAGCAAATACTCTGATTAATGGATGCTGTTTTCATGACTTGGGCTCTCTCTGTCACTCCCATCTCATCTCCATGCATATTCTGCCTCATACTTTCTATGTATCTCTGAGAAAACCGCATGTCATTTTATATTTTTTAGCTCATGTTATTCTGTGCAGAATTGTCTGCCCAGTCTTTCCTAGCTACTGTCTAATCATTGTCAGCATCACAAGTTAGAATCCAGTGTAGAGCTTTACTATGACCCTTACCATGTGATTTAGAAGTTATTTATTTGATTGCATGTTTTTGTGAGTGGGGTTTGTGTGTAGCTTTCTTCATAGCAGGAACCCTATTTTGTTTATATGCATCCTTATAATCCTAGCACCACCACATTTTGAACTGAATCGAAAGAGATGAGATGCCTAACTAAAGATGATAATAACAATAATGATTGCTGGTATTGACTACCGTATGTATGCTGGGCACAATTTTAAGTGCTTTACTCTGTTACCTCATTGAATCCTCTCAACCCCTATGAAGGAGTTACTTTTATTCTTCCCATTATTAGATGAAGAATTGGAGACCCAGAAAGGTTAAGCAAGTTGTCCAAACTCAACCAGCTGGTAAGCGGCAAGGTTGGAATTGAAACCCACTACTTCCAGAGCCCACCCTCATCTATGATGATCAGTCAGTGTAGTCTGTGCCTTCAAAATTGGGTTTTGAATCTCACTGTCTGGTTTAAGTTCTGATTCTTCCACTTATTCATCACGTGACCTGGAGTAAGGTCCTTCTCTGCAAAATGGAGATAATACATGCCCTTTAGAGGGATGTTCTAAGTATTAAATTAGATAATCAGTCCATGTAAAATCCCTACTAGACTGTAGGCAGTTGTACCAGTGTTAAGTCAGTGTGAGCACTCATTGGACAGAAGGTCTTTTAGGGTTCTTTCTAGCTCTAAATCCCATGACTCTGTCTTTCTTCAGTCCTTTCCCTTTGTTATTACCTGTTACATTTCAAAACTCTGGTGTTTATTTTAAATAATAAAGCTTTATGAGGGCCTGAGAACATCTCTGCATTCCCTATTAAGTCAAATCTATGGGTTTTGTGACAAGCATATGTTCCCTAAAACCATAGTCCTGATTTCTCATGCTGAATTCCGTGGGCTAGGTGGCTGAATAAAGATCTCTGGCTAAAGAGAGCAACTGCATTCCTGTTTACGGCCAGACCAAAGCAGAAAAAGAAATCCAAATAATAAATTACTGTTTGATTTTCAAAAGTTTCAGATGTTCTAATGGTAAAAGAACTAAAAGGAATCTACGATTAACTTGTCAACGTTTGCAGCAAATGTTTCCTCTTTCTGAGTTAAATGAAGGACATTTTAGGATGGTTTGTGCAATTAAATTGATTAGCAGTCAGATGGAAATTTCAGCTGCTTAGGTGATGATTTAATTGTAAAGACTACTCATATGGTGTCTACTAACACATGCTTACTATTCTATGCAACTCGTAAAATCTTAAGATTATTTTCATCATCTCCATAATGATGGAGATGACAGGCACTACAGTAGCAAACAAAGATGGTGGAAATTACTGTGTATAGTTCTGAGACTTAATGGTTTGATTTGTGTGCAAATTTAATAACTACTTACTTATATTGTATACAAAAATATAGTGAATTTTCTAGAAGTAAATCTATATTACTTAAATCTTGTCTATCCATTTATTTATTTGTTCAGAGATAGAACAAGGCAAATAAAAATACAGCAAAATATATTTATAATAGGTGAAATTGCAGACTATTATGGCATCAGGAGAGAGTTGAGTTCACAAAATAACTACCATGAAGTCCAAAACACTGGGTAGAGATGGGCCTCTCTGTCTATATAAAGAGGAAAATCGAACAAAAATCAGTTATAGGAAAGCATAACTGTTGTAATTACTGAGACTATAGGTGAATGTCTCCTGCTGTATGGAATGTGATAAATAGGACCTTCAACAGCCCTTATACAGAACACAGCAACAGGTTTCTCAGTGCTGATTTCTTCAACGTAAACCATTTTTTGCCATCATAAAGATCAATTTGTTAAAACAATTCTGTATGGGTCTACTGTGCAAGTGTTTGATGTTCTTAATCTAAGGATAGATTTATGGTATCTATAGATATTAATATGAAATTATTAAATTTTCCAAGGTAACCTTGCTTATTTTTTTTTAACTGAAGTTTTGGCAAGTATTGATTAGACACTGGTTTTAGGTTAAATAATCAGACATATCTGGAAATTGGAAGTATCACAGGGAAGTGAGACTTTCTTTAAGAAATCATTTTGAATTGTCTCAAAGTTCTCTACCATAGAACTTTAGTTTTTAAAATATGTGATAAGCCTCAAGATCACCTCTGAGGGAACTTTTAAAAGTTCTATCCCCTACCTCTGTGGTTTTCTATTTAGTAGGTCTGCACTGGGTGAGGCAAGGGCAACTTTATTTAAAGAAAAAAGTCACATAAGTGATTCTGCTAGAATTTAGGAAAACTACTGCCATAGAGAATGTTGCATTAATTTCAGATAGAAAAAAATTTAAAGCTAAAATAACCAAATGTACTTTAGCCATAAAATTATTTTATTCTGTAACTTACAGCTAGCCAAACGAATAAGGTGACTTAATATATGGATTTCTTACTTAGCAAAACAATTAAAGGTTTCGGTGCATCTACTGGAAATGATGCCTTTGAATGGTTAATACCTATTCTGTGATAATTTTTATTCTCACTGTCGTCTGGTTACATTTCCATATAGACTAAAAATATTTCAGTAATCATATTCTGTCTTGAGAGCATTTTTATGTTTTTGGGCCTTAAGAAATTATAAAGCATACTAATATGCATTCTAACATTAGCTTAGGTCCTTAGAGGTACTTCCTTTTGTAGGGTTTCAAGTTATAATGTGAAATATGATACTCAGAGATTGGAATCTCACATATTTCTTTACTTGTCTGCAGTAGCCCCAAATTAGTTAAATGTGTGATAAACCTTTGTTTAAAGTAGAAAACCAAGCCCATATACGTAGGTGTGTATCTTAATCTAGTATCAATATTTATAACAACAACAGAAATGTTGAGTAAATGTCTCATGTTTGCTTCTCGTTCTTTCTTTATAGGCATTGCTTCTATGACAGTGCCCGTGTACATTGCGGAGGTCTCACCACCCAATTTAAGAGGCCGATTAGTCACCATTAATACACTCTTCATCACAGGAGGGCAGTTCTTTGCAAGTGTTGTTGATGGAGCCTTCAGTTATCTCCAAAAGGATGGATGGAGGTTTGTAAATACTTCTTACATTAAGTTTTTCAAAGAAATCATGATTTGGGAGAATGGGAGAAAAATTGAGAAATCATAGGCAAAATGTAATTGGAGTTTTTGAATCATTATAGCTAATTTATAAGTGGGTGGCATTCCACAAAATTGAAAGTGGACAAGAAGCTGATATTTATTTTAATGACAGACAAGGAACCTACCATGAAGAACTGATATTTACAGGGTTTTTTTTAGCATTTAGGTGACATTTCTCACACTGTATGCAATCTTTTTGCAATATTTGTTTAAAAATGGATGTAGTAATAAATATGCATGGAGTTCTTGAATTCTATCAGTGATTGACAAGCTGTTTATGAACTGCAGATAAAACTAACATCCTTTTTGGATTTAGGAAGCTACATTCTGATCTGAAAGAAAATCAGGTTTTAAAGATATAGATTTAACTTTATAAAAAGATACATGTAAATTTAAAATACATGTAAATTTAAAATATACAAATTATTTCTTGATCATTATTTGGATTCTGTTGAATCAAAAGAAATCAGAAAAATGGTTTTAAAACTGCTTTAAAATAAATTCAAGTGGAATGTTATAAAAAGAAGATCTTACTGTAAAGCTTAAAGATATTATGGGCTCTGGATTTTGATGTCTTTATAACTTTCAAAACAATAGATTCATGTAACTGTTCCAGGGAATTTTTATTAACAGGCACTAAAGGTTACAAAATACCATCTAACTTGTTTTCTTGCCTTCGTTTTTTAGAAAAAAATATTTATTCAGCATCTACTGTGTAGGTACTGGAGATAGAATATTGACAGGATAAACTCAAGTCCTTGCTTGCATGGCTCATACAGTGTTGAAGTTAATCCATAACCATTGAAGAAGAAGAGTTTGATGTGATGTGCACATGGGGAGTTAAACCTCTATGTAGGAAGCACAATGATGGCTTAGGAAGAGCCATTAATGTCTTAACCTGGTGAAGTTTTAATTAAAAGTCACGTGAGAAAACTCTTTGAAGCCAGCAAGGGCTTGCATTTGTCAGGACCATTAAAGAGAGAAGACAGTTGTTAGAGGTGGTAGCTCTGTCTGCAGATGTTGCTAAACTGCCTTTCCACTTATGAAGGAATCAGTCTCTGCCAAAGTGAGAAATTATTGGAAATTTGAAGAAGCAGGAAATTTCATTTTTCTTTTCTGCTTGGTAGATTAACAGCAAGAGGAAGATGATAACCGTTATCAGCATAACCTGGCATTTTGATTTTTCTTGGAAACTCAGTGGAAGTCAGTTAATCTTTCACATGTCTTTGAGAAGATCTAAATCATCTATTTATATTTTGTTGAAATTTTATTAATGTGACTAATATAGACATACATATAAATCTATATCATGTAGAGTGCATAAGCCATGTTTTTCACTTAATTATAGTAACTTAAATATCTCTTTTCAGTACTGGTCAGGAAAGAACGATCATACAGTAGTGAAAATAAATTTATAAAAGCAGTGTACCTGTGAAAAAGTGGGAGTGTTGGGAGGCCCTTAAACCCCTTTTCAGAGGCAGACAGACCTGGATTCATATCTGTTCCCTACCACTCATTAGCTATGAACCTTGGACAAGGCATTTAGCCCCTCTGAGCTTCAATTTAAAATGGGACCAAAAATACTTAGAAGATTCTTGTGGAATCTAAAATAATTGTATATGTAAAGTGTGTAGCCCAGTGCATGGCACATGGCAGGTCCTTAATAAATGATGAGTCACACATTATTTACTATTCTGATGAACAAATAAAGGATGGGTACTACAATAGGTAAATTGTAAGGGAGATCGAAGGAAAATCAACATTCTATGGCCTCTGTTTTCTTTATTGGCAAGGATGGGGCTTGGAGGTGGTAGGGCAGAGGCCTAGACGAGAAAAAAATGAATGTGCATAGCTGCTGTCGGAAGTATAAGAAGGAAAAGACTAGAGACAACAAATGATTTTCAAGTAACCTTGGGATCTGAGTTGACATTGGAGACATATTTGCAGTAAAGCCAATTAACATGTTTGTGTGTATTTTTCCTGCAATACTGGAGAGCCCAAGTTTGAAAAAATAAGAGTATGGGAAAACTAACTTGGGCTGGTATTTAGACCAAAGCATTAACAACCAAATTACTTTGAACTCACTTTATTGTTTGCATGAATACCCATTTAATTATATATTCATGCAAACATGTTTCCTTTTTTTAAAGGTGAATTTTCTCTGTGTTTTTGTCTTCTGTTATTTAGTGTCCTTAGCAGTATGTTTACCTTCTCTGACACCTGGGCTACTAGGAGAGTGTGGTTATCAGCAAATAAAGATTTAAGTGCTGTTTTAGCATTAACTTTAGACTCTGGAATTATCGGCAATTATAACTTATTCATAATTACAACAATAGATAATTTACTTTTATGGCAATATGTTTCAAAAATCCTAAGGAAAAAGTGGTTTTAAATATTTCATATAAAATTTCTCATACTCATAGTTTTATATATCTTAAAGTTAGATGTCCCCTATCTTCTAAGGATTTGAATTTTTTGTTTCCTTTTATTTCCCTTTTGACTTGTATTGTTTCTGACATTCTACTTCAAGTTATTAATGTTGAATTTTATACAACATACCTAGTGTCCCAGATTTATAAGCTTGCATTATAGTGATGAATTTCAGAGTCTAGTAGAAGGACCATTTGATCCTAACAAAAATCTTGAGAGGTTGGTGGAACTGGTATTATTCCCATTTTGCAGATTAAAAAACTAACTCTCAAAAAAGTTAAATATTTGCCTGACACCCCATAGCTAATACTTGGCATATTTGAGCTAAGTCTTCTTACCCAAAATCTAACCACTTTCTTCCTTCTGGTTCTGCTTATAAGAGTTTATCATCTAAAAGCCATAATTATTGATAATTTTTACAGTAGTGATTGGACTAGGACATATGGAAGATGAAATTGATAGAAAAATTTCTTAGATTTTGAAGTTGAAAGACTGTATCTCCCCTTTTGTGCCAGATGGGTCAAAGTTTCTGTCCTATTATTGTTTGAATGTCAAAGAAATAAATTGTTTTCTGCTGAACAACTGGAAGATTAGTTTTTCCAGAAAAAAGAATTGCCAGTAGAAGATTGAGCATTGGTATTTTTCTGGCACTCCAGTGTCATGGTACATTCTGTACTGGGAAGGACACCATCTGGCTTCATGAAGAAAAGGGAAATAGGATTTTGAAAATATTGTTAAAGATTTTATTTCTTTAAAAAACAACTTTACTGAGATGTAATTCACATACCACTCAATTCATCCATTTAAATTGTACAATTAAATGGTTCTTGGTGTATTCACAGGGCTGTGCAACCCATCATCATCATCAAATTTAGAACATTTTCATCACCCCCAAAAGAAACCTTGCACTCCTCAGCCATCACCCTGAAACCTCCCAATCCTTCCCAGATCTACACAAACATTAATCTACTTTCTGTTTGTATGGATCTGTGTATTTTGGATATTTTATTTATCAATATGTGGTCCTTTATGACTGGCTTCCACTTAGTATGTTTTCAGGGTTCATCCATGTTGTAGCATGCATCATTACTTCATTTCTTTTTTTATGGGCAAATAATAATGTGGATATACCACATTTTGTTTATCCATTTATCAGTTGATGGACATTGTTTCCATTTTTGGGCTATTACAAATAATACTACTATGAACATTCATGCACAAGTTTTAGGATAACCACTTCTCTGCGTTGTATACCTAGGAGTGAAATTGCTAGGCCATGTGGTTACTGTATTTAGCTTTTTGAGGGCCTGCCAGACTGTTTCCAAAGTGACTGTACTATTTTACATTCCTACCAGTAATATATGGGGGTTCCAATTTTTCCACTCGTGTTAAACACTTGTTGTTATCTGTCTTTTTGACTATAGTCATCCTAATGAATATGAAGTAGCATCTCACTGTGGTTTCAGTTTGCATTTCTCTAATGAGTAATTGTGTTGAGGAAGATTTGATTTTTACCTAATATAGTGCTTATAAAGATGGCAGCAATATTTTGGTAGTTGATGTCAGTGATAAAATTCTATCACTGTTCACCCTTTGCTAATTTTTTTTATCTTACTGAACATAGATTTACTGACTACACTTCACGCAAACAAAGGCTTTCCTTTTTTAATTGCTGAATTAAATCCTGGCTTATAGGAAACCCTCAATAAATATATAGTAAGTGAATTTAACAGCCACAAAAATGATCTGTTTAAAACACTTTAGCATGCCACTGCTAAAATGCTGCAAGGCTCACCATTAACTCTAGGGAAAAAAAATCAAGCATTTAATCATGTCTGTGGTATTCAGTCTATGCTTGCTTTTTTAGATTTTTGTAACTGGTGTTGCCTTTCCCCACTTCTCCCTTTATATAACACCCATGTTTGTGCATCAGCCACACCTTGCTTTGTCATGTTTCTTGTTTTTTTTTTTCCCTTCTGCTCACTTTGTCTACATTGTCTTTCTAGCCTGTCCTGGGTTACTGGTCCAGCTCCTGTTCACTCTTTAAATCTCTGCTTACGTATCTTATGATACCTTGTCCGTTTGTTCTTTCGTAATACTTTGTACAAAGCTTCACTTTTATACTTACCGTATTATTTTGAACTAATTGCTTATTTGTCTATCTCCTCTAATTCATTGTGGAGCTCCTGAATGTCATTGACCTTGTACTCATTTTTAGATATAGGAAAGGGCCTAGAACATAGTAAGTACTCAGTAAATGTTTATTGAATTGAGCTGAAATTGACTGCGCTCCGGAGAAGGGACTCGTAACCAAAATAAAAAGATATTGATTATAAACCGAAATACCAAAAATCATTAATTTATACTGAGGGATATATATACTTCATAGATAGCTTAAAAATTTTAAATTATTAATTATAAGTTTCTTACTGAGCATAAAAATAAGGAAAAGATAATCAGTTTCTGAGCCCATGAAAATGTCTCTCCCTCAAGAGAAT